CAGTGTAGTTTTGATTGTGCGGCTGATGTGTTTTGTTTATTTCTTCACTCTGTTACTATTGTGATCCTATAGTTACGACAAATTGAGGAGCTGCAAGAACCAATTCTCAGAACAAGTTCAAGTTCTGGAGAAGGAAATTGATAAAACATCTGCAGTCGTAAGAGGAATAGAGGAAACCTTCGTAAGTGTCAGTTTGTGGTGATTGATTTCAAGGTACAATCATGACAATAACCTTTTTTCGTATCTCAGTGTATGTAGAAGAGAGCCATCTTTCCAAAAGAACCATGGTTGGGCCGATGAACGTTTTTTTTTTTCAATATCGCAGTTGTGATGACCCCTTACTTATCTGGTTAGAACATTTCTTTGAAAATTAGAATGGTTTGGAAAAACAATTCAAGATCCTCAAGAACCAAAGACAGGTGGAAAACAAGAGGTTAGTAGGTAGTTCTTACTGTTACTCTTAGTACCCTTTACGTTTTTCGTCATTTAAGACCTGATGGGTTCACACTCGATCTTCGTCTCAAGGTTCAAAGGCTTGGAACATCTTCAGGTTGTCATGGAAAGTGAACTCACAAAGTTGAAGCGTAAAAGAGAAGAACGAGAGGTATTTGCTGATCATTGTACGTTTTTACCACCCCTGTTACGTCTGAGGAGGTATACTTTCAACCTGCTTTGGGAATGGAAGTTTGTGTTTTTGTTTCATTATTTAAAGGTGAAGTTTCTCTTTGGTTAGGCTTGCTCAGCTCAACGAATTGACCATATGTTGATCAAACGAATTAATGAGAATGACTTTCTTCATATTATCAATTTTATTGAAAGGATATAGATTAATTAAAATTGTTGCTTAAAGTCATATAAATACTTTTAACAGATAGCAGTGCGAACTGAGATGGAAAACGAAATGGAAAAACTACAGAATAAATTTCTTCAAGACGCTGTGAGTAGACGATCGGATTCTCCAACAATTGGTTTTAATTTCACGTGTGTGCGGTGTTGATTTTTCCGCTAAAACTTCTTTATTTCTCTTTTATCAGCGCAAGCAGACAGAAGATTACCTTAAGATGACATTGAACACCTTACGCATCCTTTGACGTTACTACAATGAATTGTGCTTTTGGTCCAAGTGTGTTAAGAAAAGATGAGACTGTTCTCTTGGTGTCTTCCGCAAAGAAATGGCTGGTGTTTGACGATTTTCAGTATAGAGGTTCGAACAAATTATCGGGTCTTTTTGTATTACACATTGAAAGATACAAAATTGAAGCCAAAACAGAAAAATAAGCGAATGAAAAAAGGAAAACGTAGAACAAGTTAAACGGAGTGGTTTTATGAACCAGTTGTTAGTTTGGTTTTCTAATTTAAAGTTACTTCCTTCTCGAAATACGTATTGAAATGATTATTTAATTCTAGCTGAAACAGCTTCAAATATTTAATTGATTTATTTTATTTATACTTCAAAAAGAAAAAGTAAACTTATCTATTTTAAACACCTTTTCATATGGTTCTATAATCTCCTTCATTTAAGGGAATCACCGTCTCCAAACTTCTTACTGTGGGAGCTAGCTTGTGACTCTTAGTTGACACCCTGAAGTTAACTGCGACTGAGTACTCAGGAGGAATAGTGTCCTTTTATAATTTTGCCTGTCCCCGCCATATATTTGGTTTACTCAAAAAGCTGCAGTTTACCTTTTTCAGTCACGCATACTCCTCAAAACCTATACCTCGGCAGAGGCCTTGCAATCGTTGTTGGTGCTTTTTCGAGAAAATTGCAAAATTTTTTGAATGGCACAAATTAGATCATCATTAGATCATGCGTAAGTTATCCACCTGATTATGCGATGGTTCTATGTTTGACCTTACTGGAAAGACTTTAAGTCCTTTTTTTTTCAAATCCCTGCATATTACTTTCTCATTGCGTAGTTTATTCTTCTTGATCACGATAGACCATCATTTAAGAGATAAGTCCATCATTTAAGAGAAAATTCGTTTATTGAAATAACATCTGGCAGTCGTGAGACTAAATTACATGTTTTAAAACAATAACGGATAATCTTTATACATACGATACATATAATTATGAAATTTGAACTATCAAGTGGCCTCGGCTACATGGTGCATAACAAATGAGTTCTTAAATCTGTTAGTCTTGATTAATGGCAACGAGTAAACTCTTTTATGGCTCCGTTCATGATTACATGGTCCACGCTTAGCTGGTAATAGGTTCCAAACTTTGTGTGTCTCGTTGACATCTGTAGTCTCGATCTGACTAAATAGCAGTTGATACAGAGTTTCTCTTCTTTCAAACAAGGTTCCAAGTTTTGCTTTAGCAGTTGCTTCTTTGTAATTGAGGTCTGGAAAAATTATCCTAAGCCCTCTCTTCTGGATACGTTCCACCTCGTCTGATAAATACTGGGGCAAGCTTGAATGGAAAACTTGACAAGAATATTCTAAAACTGACCTGATACAAGCAGTGTTGAATTTAACAAGTGAACCATGTTCCACGTCAGCTTTTTTCAGTTGCTTCAGGAGATAAATGGGCTTTGATGCTTTTTGGACGATATTTTCGATGTGAACATTCCTTCTAAGATCTTTTGTGATGGTTACACCTAGAATCTTTGCTTGAGGCACTCTTTCAAGGTGCTGGCTGTTTAGGCTAATAAATTCTTCCGCGTCTGGCTGCTTACTGAAGTTAATGATAAGTTCATTGCATTTACAGGATTCAATTGAAACTTATTTTCACTTGACCAATTGGCCACTTCGTGTATTGCCATTTCCTGTAGCATACTTGGGGATGACTTCAGATATTGAGGTGTCATCTGCAAATTTCCACATAGACATGGTTGGTTGTGAGATTCTTAAGTCATTAACCATGGCTCGAAAGAGCCATAGGCCAATTTTCGTACCCTTGGGGGATAGCGGCTGGGACAAGCTAAAAACTGGAGTAGTTTTCAGAACTGAAAACTTTATGAAATAAATTAATGAACTAAATTAAGGGGATAGAGCGTTGGAGTTCTGAACTTATTATCATCAAAATCAAAGTAGAGGAAAGATTTAGGAAAGATTTAAAATGAAAAATTACTAAATACAGCACAGACAATGTTGATGCGTTATACAGAGCTCCCTTGATTTACCATCTGTTCAGAACAAAAGAGCATTCGAAAGGCACAAATCCATAATTTTATTGTGTAGATCTCTGTATCCGTTCTCCTTTGACTAAGAAATTTCAACGTTGATAAAATTACATTGTGGGATTTTAAGTCAAACAGATGCTGGCAGTTTCAAGTGTATAGACAAACGTTTTTTAAACGATTAAAACATCTGCAAAGTGCTCCCATGCCTTCATGCTAAGCTATGCGCAGGTGAATCATTTCATGAACTTTTAAAAGTGGCTTATAGCCGTCAGTGCAACAAAGTAATCCGCATTCCAAGTCCAAGAGAAAAACATTCCCAACTTGTGTTAGTACTGATACAGTTATGGAAAATTGAGTGGAACTGAAAATCAACTGAGTGCTTATGTTGTATCAGGTGTGAACACTATTAGTGTGAGCGCAGTTGTTTGGTGTGGGCGTGTTTAACGATGCAGAAACGTCCTTCAGAGATAACAAAAAACGAAGCTTTTGTCAGTCATCAGTTTATTTGATGTCTCCCTAAAACATAGATTATTATAAGGTATTCGATATCATGACAGGGGTGCGACTCGCTAATTCTTTAATACTCATTATAGAGCTTAATCTACCAGACTATTTTTAACTTTCCTTGTTTGACTCCTATTGACGAGCGCTAAGTCACAAAACAAATCGAAACAAAAGGATCACGTAGCAATTAGCTGTAAAGTTCATCGCAGATTTCTGTTATTTTTAATTCTTTTCTTCTATTCAAATGTAAAGGTCAGCCAGATCATCAATATGTCGTTTTGATTACTGTAAACGTGTTTGTTCGTGCTTTGTAAACTTCAATTTAATTTTTTCTCTCTTTTTCAACAGCATGGGTGATACCCTTTCATTATTTTTCTTTGTTTTATTCACTTTATTTTTTGTTGCATTTACTAATTGACCTAAAAAGACATCACAGACCTTGAGGCTATGTTGAATGCGACGGAAGTTCACAGCTTGAAGCAGCTTAAAATGGCTGATAGTAATTTTAGTCTGATAAATCTTTTATAAATGCTATCGCAGATCTATCTATCGGATCTTTTGAAGTCTCTCTGTTTGACCTCAACTGTCCTAAATGGCTCCAAGCCCTCCAGCTCCTGTCGTACTGACTGTGAGGGGCTTTGATAAAAATCGTAACATTGTGAATAACAGTAATTAACCGCAGAATGGCTCTGGAACAAGTCGACGTGACTCAACAGTAGAGGATTGAAAAGAGAAATTGGCGATATTTTCAATAAAAATTCTAGTCCAGTGTCTGGGTGCCAGATTCGCATTCGCATGACAAAAAAGGCTCAGCTTAGTCTCTGCTCTGCTCTTGAACTTGAGCTTACAGAATCAATAGAAGGATTTCAAACATAACCGCAAATTAATCTGGTCGAGATTAGTCCATCTGTATCGCTATTTTTATTTACCATCTGTTCAAGACTAACTTAGAGAAGGGAGAGACAAAAAAGATTTCATGCTTTAACTCAATTAAGGATCTTCTCCCTTTGGGCTCTGAAAATGTTTGGAGCTGACAAAACCGTCAGTCTAAGAGTTTTCGATCAAACAGATGGTTTTAGTCACGAGTAAACAGTATCAACTTATGCTGAGAACAGCATCCCTACAAATGCAACAAAATTGTCAATAGACAACCAAACTGTGAAAAAAGTCAGTGACTCGCTATACTGACGTGAAAGGCCAGGGGAAAATGCAAAGATGGGATACTGCTTAAAAATGTCTGCTATAGTATTAATGTTAAAAATCCATTCATTATCTTGTCAATGAGATCTATGACAGTTGACTTTTTTTTTTTTTTTAACCAGGAATCCAATAAAGGAATGATAATCATTGGAAACAATTATGTAATAAAGCATGCGCGCGTTAAATTATAAGGGACTGCCACATCACGCCAGGATATCAATTGTGCCTTCAGTCTTCGTAAGAATACGTATTTGACACAAAAGCAAATGCTGTGCTGAAACCAATTTATTTTACCTTTGACTGAATTTTGTTTAATTCAAAAGGTAAATTGGTGACTTTGATCGTGACGATCACTTCGTGTAACTGGTCTAGAACTTGGAGTTTAAGTACAGAGTCGGCTCCTCGGGGGTTGATTATTCGAAGCAAACCGTCTGACTGTGCATTTGGTTTCCCTCGGCAGGTATTCTACCGACGCACATCTGAGAGCAGTGAGAACCCACTGAGATCTATCAACGTAGGATTTAAGCTTTCCACAGCAATGAACAACTCTTTAAATTCAACTGCAAGTTCAGCGATTCTGCCGAGGAAGTTTGTATCAGAGCCGTTTGCAATGACAGTTGTAAGGCTGTCTCTTTTTGGCATCATGTTCCTCGCTGCCGTCATCGGAAATTTCTTCGTGTTTACAGCTCTTTTTGGTAATAGTCGCCTTCGAACATTCAGTTATTACCTGATCACGAATCTCGCAATAAGCGACTTTTTTAGTATCCTTTGGGTTCCTTTGATTCTTGTTAACGAACAGCTAAAGTCTGGCTGGATCTACGGTCCATTCCTCTGTAAGTTGATGAATCCAAGCCAGGTCGTCTGCGGTTTGGTAACCACGAATGTGCACGTTGCTATAGCAGCTGATCGATATTTCTCCATAGTTAGTCCATTTGGATATTCATGCAATCATTTTAAATACCGCCGTGCATTTTTAGTTGTGTCTGCCATTTGGATCGTGGCGGTCGTTTGCTCTCTCCCGTTGTTTATTTTTAGACGAGTATTGAGCGTAACCTTCAAATCTGGCAGGAAGATGGATTACTGCTTTGAAATATTTCCGCCCATGAATGCGGATTCAGAGCATGGTTATCGTCAGATTTACTCTGTGTTTCTTTTCCTAGTGAATTATATTATTCCCCTATCTATTTCTACCGTGCTGTACGCAAAAATTATTCTTCACTTAAAGAAAACCAAGCTTGAGAGGAAAAAATTGGGTCGAAAATTCAGCCAAAGAAGCAAAGCGTCAACAAATGGTACCAAAGTGTATTGCAACGATTCAACTCAACTTGAGAGACGTTTTATTTCTATGGCTATCGTCATAATTTTGATATTTTTCTTCTGTTATTTGCCTTATCAAGTTGTCTTTCTTCTCGTTGAGTTCACAGACTACGCTGCGTCGTGGAAATATGTTCGAATACTAATGAACATAGTTTATTTTCTGACGTGGGTGCCAAATGCATTGAACCCAATCTGTTTTGGTGCCATGGATCAGCGCTATTCGAAAGCTTTCAGAAAAATTTGTTTCGCATTTCAAGATACCTCTGATAAAGATTCCAAGACCAATCAAAGTGGATCTCTGTCGAGACAAGCGCGTAAAGTAACTGACACTGATGTATAGATGTCTCTTCAGGTGGATAAATTGTTTGATTTGGTGTGACCACAATAACGATATGCTTGGGGGGGGGGAGAACTCTTAGAATTCTGGGTTAGGGAGTGTGAATGATCTCTTCAGTCTCTAACTATAACGCATCTCCATTCCTTATTTCAAGACAAGCAATTCTAGAGTCCGTTTTTTTTCAATAACCCATAGTGTGAGGTTCAAAGGGGTACTGTCTCCCTCCCCTCCCCCCGGTCTTTAAGGACCGCTGGATTAGAAGAGCATGCATATTCGTTCAATTAAATTCAGCTTATCTTTTATGATCTTTTTCTAATTGTTTTGGCTGACTCTGCGGACTGGTCAACGAAGATATCCTCTGAATATGAACTGATAAGATGAAAAAAAAGGTTGTAGATGAAATATTACGAAGTGAAAAGAAGCTCAAGTGTTTTTGTTAGTGATCTTTAAGAAGTTTATGCTAAAATACGTGACTGACGTATCCAGCCATTTGTGCTCTGAGATTATAATGAGACGGAAAAGGTCATTGCGGTTCAACAAGTTTTGTGATTTCTACTTAAAATGGTTCATAAATGTTTTAATTTCGAGATAGCTTGATCAACAGCAGTTTAGCGTTCGCGCTTTCATTTGGTAAAAACTCTCATCTTTATCTCCTAAGACCTGAGAAATCCAATTTTCAGTGTTTTTTCTATTTTTTTTTCTACTTAACCTCTTGCTGAAGTACTTAAGTTTCTTTGCATTGGTCCCTGGTAAAATTCCCGATCCAGTTGTTCTGGCAATGTTAAAAGCAAGAGGAGGGTTGATAAATACTCTCTTCATGAAATTTGTTGCAGAATTCTCCACTGCGTTAAGGAAAATCTCTGCGGAGCGCTGCTTCGACAATCAATAGGACTGTATCTTTCCGATTTCTTGCGTTTATTTACGATCTATACAATATCCGAACTCTTTACATTCAAACGATCTCGATCTTCTGTTACAAGATAGTGATTCTATTTATCTGCTATTAAAACGGGAATACACGCCTAAATTACGTAAATGCAAGACTGACACTACTTATTCGTGATTTACTAAAATCCTGAGCTTTTAATTTGATTTTAACAACAGTTTCCTATTATACGCCGACCAACACTTCTGTAATTTACACCCACACGCACGCACTATTTGCGACACGAAAGACAAATTACGCAATGTCACAGGATGTTCCAACTCAAACGCGAACGCACAATTTCCCTTGGCAATTCCTTATCTAATTATTTCAGACCATTATTGATTTTCTATATCACGAACATAACACAAAACACAAAATCTTACGTAACCCAACTGTCATCAAACCTTCAGCTTAATATAAAGTGTCACGCGATACGCTTACAAGATTATCACGACAGAATTTCAAACACTTTGCGGTATCTCACGATGTTATCTTTGCTAGTTGTCAGTTTGAAAAGCACTCCTTTATCAAATGTAGCAGTGATTTTTGTTCCAGTCTCATCTGGTAACTACAGATCAACGATAAACTTTCAATCATACATTTTCTACAAATGGTTGTAGCCAAATTCAATCAGTAATCAGCCCCAATAAAAGAAGACAGCTTCTATCCCAACGCCGGAGAGTGCGTTACGCCTCAGATGCGCTTTCACAAACCTTAAAGTTGCGGAGCATTGAGCCGCTTTTAACACATGTTCTGTTCAATGGAACCTGGCCAGAACGGTAAACGTAGAAAACAACCTACAAGAAATTTCATAAAAAATGATGGTTCCGTAACTAACTGGGATGATTAGAGGACGACAATTTATTGTAATTGTCGGTAAACATCTTCATCGAGGCCATCTCATAAAAGTTATGCAGTTGAATCGTTTGATTCGTTTTGTAGCAACCAATGGAAAGACTCAGGGGTCTCGTGAGGGTTTGAACAGATAATAATCGCTCATTAAAATACGATTTCTTTCAAGTTATACCTCTGTGATTGCGTCTTGATGATATCATTAGGTATCTAGAGAAATAACTCTGTGACTGTTATAGGTAAATGACCGCTTTAGGCTATGAAGTTTAATCAAATGAAGCATGTGTCAGAGAAAGGAGCGGAAGTGATTATAAACTTGGTTGAAATTCCTTGCGTGCGGGTGATGGTGGGTTTCAAAATTTACGGTATAGCCATAAAGGACGTCTCTTTGGTCAAGAGAAAGCATCAAATAATTATGATAGCAAAGATTATAATAATGATAATAATGAAAAAACGAGCTGGCGTAATATGTGGAAACCTGAGAACACAAGCCACACTGAGTCAGCTGTAGAATGTTATCGCCGAAATTAACTAAACATACACTTCCTTTAGAAACTCTTTTATTATCTTTCATTTGTTTTCTGAAGAGGCAAATTTGCTGAGGCGAAAACCCGAAAACACGCCCCACAATTTTCCCCTTTATTTTGTTTGGTATTCTTTAAACTCTACTGTCTGAAAATCTTGTTGCTCGTTAGAGGAATTGAGAAAACCTTCATTCACTGGCCCCGCCCCTAACGAAGTGGAGTGTTAACACTCTGTGCTCTAAATTTAGTCTCAGAGATCTTTCACTTTGAATATATATACATATTTGATTCATGTAATCACTATTTCTGTCATTCATTACCTTACTTGATGTTCCTAAAACGTGATAATGAAACCATGATTTCGGTCTTATAACTTTACTGATAGGTCGGCAAGGGAACACCACAAACGCAGTATCTTGATTACAAGGTCAACTGTTTATTACAAGCTTAACATATGGTTTTTGAGATTGGCCACCCCGGGCCCAGAAAGAAAATAAACGGCTGTTGTGCAGAAGTGGCCACTTGGCCATTGTATTCAGTATTAACTGACTGATCCGTTATGTCCATGTTTACTTTACGATTCTGTCTTTTTTTATAAGTTACTTCAAATTACGAGCCATTGGTCAGATCACAGTTCGTATTTTCGACATTTTTGTTGTGTTCTACCTCTCCCAGGAATTTAAAATGGTTCTTTCCTCAATAGTTAATCAAACGAAAAGTGTCCGAAATCTAAGAGTACAGTCCCAAATCGGTCGGATAATATTGTCTAACGTTCGAAAACGGACGAAAGCGTCCGAAATCGGACGATGGCGTACGAAATAAGAAGATCCAGTGCTTTCCTCTCCGGCAAAGACTTGTGGGATAATACAAGGGAAATCACTGTGACGTTACATGACGTCGTGAGCGGCGGCCATGTTGTTTGCTCTGTTCTCTGTAAATCGGTGAGTTTTTCCCAGTATGTCTAAAGGAATAATTACAAAACGAAGAAGGACAGTTGCGGAATGTCTTTTTGGACTTTCTTTATAAGACTGGGACAATGTCGGTGCTGTTCGATCCACATGAAGTCGGTATAAATGGTCAGTCGAATTTGCGAAAAGGTGCAAGACCGCCTCGAAGGAAAGAAGATGATTTGCTTGTGTTCGGTTATGCGTGCAAGTTGTTCGAGAACAATCAAACGGCTGCTTCTTTTGATGAAGAAAAGAGTCTGATACCGTGGATGGGCGACGAATCTCTTCTGATCGACAGGTCTGTTTGATATGAAACTTTGTTTGGTTAAGATTAATAAAACTTCGTTCTTGACTTTGAAATCACGTTTCATGATTATTTGTGAACGTTGTTATTGTGAGATGAGGAATATTCCTCGATTTATTTCAGAAGAAACTGTTCATCGAGGATTTGCACTTAAAGGGTAATGGAGGTAAATCAGTGATCTATTTTCCCAGATAAAAACTTTTCGATTTGAGCTTACCATTTTTGTGCTACAAATACAGAGTCTTGACAGAATCGAAGGGTATTGTATGAAAAATTCTTAGAAATGCAATTTTTTACGTTAACTGCGTCGATCAAAAAATTTAAACCCTTCGGATCATTGATAGCAAGTGATGAGGAACTTCAATGCATCACGGTAAGTTTTCTGTCAGAGGAGAAGTACAATGTAAGTAATAAATGGTGGTAAGTACTTTGGTGAATTTAAAAATATTGTAGTGTACATTGTTTATCATTGGTGATCTGAGAACTACACCTTGTGATAAAGATGTATGCAGGTTCTATGAATACCCAGTTGCTTGAGAATTTTGCTGGATTTGTATTCTGCAGATTGGCAAAACATTTTTGTGGTGTAGGAATGCAAGCTCTAGATGTTGGTCAAACTTGAAGGCTTCAGACCATTTCAGAGATCAAATATGAGAGACGGGACTTAGATTTATAAATTAAGCCATTGACACATCAATAAGCATACATGTTGCTGCATGGGTATAGTAATGGCTCTCCACTCATTAGTTTCCCATGGCTTAATTCCAGGTATGATGCACGTCTGTTGTTTACAGACAAGGCTCAGTTTGTCTCCAAACCATCTCAAACACCTCCTGTCCTTACACCAGAAGAAGAGGAGATGGAAAGACGTTTTGATGAAGAAAGGTATTTGGACCTCCATCATGACACACAGGAGTATGAATTACAACAAGGTAAGCTGTAATAGGAAGGTTATGTTTTGTATGAAACTGATTTTTCTTATTTGAAATAAATGATTTACTCCTAGATATTTTGCAGTATGTACATGGATATCAATGTATGAAATAGTTGTATGTCAACCCACTGAATCATTAATTAGGATATTTTTATCCTGACTTGAAAAAGTTTTTGTTAGACCTTTGATTTAGCATATGACAGATCTTATAGTTTGGGTTTTTTCCTAATCTTTCTTGGTGAGATGACTTCATAACGAAATAGTAAAATCCTGTCATTAACTATTAATATATGATAGATTAAAAGTAATGTGAAAAAGTGGTGAATTTTAGAATTAATCTTTTGTACTGTAGAAGTCATCTTACACATGATGATTTTTATCTTTACTTATAAATTAAATGTATCTTATAACTGATACACTCATTTTTTTCCTATTTCCAAAGAGGAGGAAATGAAACGTTTCCAGCAAGCCCTTAGTGAAGATGGTGCTTACAATTCAGTGGCTTTCAGTTATGACTATAGTGCACCAGAAAACAGCTTCCACTATCCACAAAGTGTTTCAAGTTATGAAACGACTTCAAGAGAAGGTTTGCACATAACTGAACGTTTTTTTGTATGCTGGTTATTTGCAGGGTATGATTGTAAATACAAAAGAACTTTTCAAAGCATCTTACTTTTATGTATGTATTTTCGTCACATGACTGGCATTTAACTCTTTAGACCTGAAGAGTGACTAGCATCAAAATTCTCCCTACAATATCACCTCTGAATCACATGTTAAGGTCATGAGAAGAAAGGAAATGATCGCAAACGAAAGAAGCTTTTGATTGGTAAACAAATTCTCCTTGTCAGCATCTTAGGAAATGTATAAAGAGCAGTATGGAGAATATGCTTACTGGTTTTAGGGTGTAAAGGGTTAAAACATCTACAATATACAGAAATGCTCAGAGATGAGGGTTCCCAAGTGCAAGCAAAAAACTTTTCTAGATTTTCATTTTTCAGAACATGTATGGTTTACAATGCATTTAAAATTAATTTTAG